ACCTTTTATGGACTTTTTGCTAAAAGAAGAAAAAGTGAAATGATGATTTATGGATTTAATGTTAGGAAAAGAAGAGAATTAAATAAGAAGCTGAAGGGATTTCTGGAATAGTTAAGAGAGAGAAGAGATGGTGGGTTTGTTAATATCTGTTGAAAAGAAGGTCAGAAGTCATCTCCTTTAGTTTCTTTAGTTGTTTCTCTCTCTTCTTTGTTTCCATTTTATCTCCCTCCCTCCTTCCCTCCCTCCCTCTCTTTTTTCTTTGTTAGATTTGTTTTTTACTCATGAAAAAAAAGTTTAATAAAAACATTATTTTAAAAAATTGTCCTTCGGGGTCCCTGAAAGGTTCCAATTTATCTCCCATTTTATTTAAGATTTATATGAAGTTGTTGGGAAGAATCATGGATAGGTTTAAACCCAATCGTTTCCAATGCGCTGATGGTACCCAATTATATTTCTCCTTTTCTTTGAGCATAAGGCTAGATTTCACAAAAGTCTCTGCATGCCTCCAAGCTGTAAAGAACTGGATGTGGAAGAATAAGCTAAACTTGAATCCGGACAAGAAAGGAGTTGTTGCTGCTTCCAGGAAGCTGGACTTCAGAGTATGGAAAACGTCAGATATGGACAGGATCACATTTCCTTTTAATGACCAGGTCTGCAGCTCAAAGTTCTGCCTGGATTCCGTGCTGTTGCTGCTTAGCCATATTATACTGGTGAGAATGAGGCTTTTCATCCGCTTCAGCTGATGAAGGAGTTGTGCCCATTCTGAAGTAGAGATACCTGATAACCTCAAGGTGGGATTACTGCAATGTACTCATCATGGGGCAGTCCTTGCAGACAATCCACAACCGCACCTTGCAGCAAGGGGGCGAGTGGTGTTTCCAAAAGGTGCCACATTATTCAGTGTTGAAAGCATTACACCGGTTGCCAGTGACTTCCTGGATTCAATTCAAAATGATCTATCTGTACCGGTGGCTCCACACTCTTAGGCTTTCCAAGGGGCATCTTTTGCAAGTCCTACCACAGTTATACTTAACTGAAGCAGCTAATTTTGTCTCTGCTAAGGGGAGGCATGAGACAACTTGCCATTGTAGCTGAAGCCCTCTCCTTGTTATAGGTATCATTTAAAAATTCTTTTCAACCAGGGCTTTTAGCTGTTTTGAATTCTTTAGATGCCAGGCCAGGTCTCCATCATATGGTTTTAGTCTGTGTTCTGAGATAACAATGAAAATCCTTTGCTTCTGGCAAATCTCTGTAGTGATTCTTCATTCTTCACCCTGCACTCCCAAAACCAGATCATGGGCCAAAAGAAAATTAACCCCAGCCCTTCTAGTGAAGCCACAATGTAATTTGATGGCCTCCTGTAGCCTTGAGAAGGCAAAGAGGTTAAGTTGTGGTCCCTGATCCCTCAATGTTGCATACGCCAGCTTAGATCTACAAATGGAAGTGGATAATACAGTCTACCAATTTTAAAATTAAATGAACAAGAAAACAGTTATGGATGAATAAATAACTGGTGGAATCAGCAGTCTTACCCAGGTGCTAAGAACAGCAGCTTACACTGTTCTTAAGGAAGGACTGTCCGGTATCATCCCTTTCATCTTGACATTCAGTCCCCTCCTGCCCCCTCCTCCACTTGTGGGCACTGAAGATGCTGGATATTATACAATCCTAGGATTCAGTGTGAAGGAAGGAGAATTCTGCTTTTCACAATAAACTAAATAAGGAATGGACTCAGCAGAGATACCACACAAGGTTGCTTAAATTATACAGGGAAATGTAGGGGGGGAACCCAAACCTAGAAGTCTCATATGCTAATTCATTTCTATTAGTTGAATCATGATCTTAACAGCCTTCCCAAAACACCAGTTACAGCCATATCATAAACATTTATCTGCATTCTAACTGCTGACATATAAATAAGTCAACTCTGGCCAAGAAAGATTCAGTCATTTTATACTGGCAAATTCTTGAATGTAACAGAATCCAAGTAGATATAACTTGTGCAAGTCATTGCTTAGCCAGCAGCAACATATGATCTTATTACTGTTTGCAGTGAATGAACCATATTTGCAACAACATCTATGACCTATTGGACATCTATCAATTTGACAATCTGAAATACGGGGCAAAAATTGCATCCCTGATTAGCCATCAAGCAGGGCTGGTAAAATGAATGCAGATTTTGTATGCTCGGATTTAATGAACCCATTAGTACTTTACCTTATGTGGATAGTAGTGGGCATACCCTGATACACCTATGTAACACCTCTACTTTGCAAATTGTGCTGGCTTCCAGTGGGCTTCTGTGTACAATTCAAGGTGCTGGTCATCATCTATAAAGCCTTGCATGACACAGGTTCCTGTTATTTGCAGGACTGCCTGTCTCTGGTTATATGTTCTTCCAGGCTGAGCATGCTCCGTGTCCCTTCTTTGCCTCAATATCATCTGGTTAGACTAAGGAAGTGTGTCTTTTCTGTGGCAGCACCCACCCTTTGGAGTAATCGCCCCCCCCCAAATTTGATTGGACCTAACCTTGCTAGCCTTTCAGAAGGCACTAAAATAGGCTTTTTTGCCCCCAGACATTTGAGCCAGGATGTTAGATGTGCCCATTTTGGTAGGTGGTATGATGTCTTTGACAGCTAGAATGTATGTCTGTTTTTTTTATTTCTGTTATTATGGATTATGGGTTTAATGATAGGTCGTTATGATGAGTTGGGCACTATGTAAATTGGATAAATACATACAATGTATATGTACCTGTGGCAAGATAATGCTATATGTTCTCATTGTCCATAAATATAGCAAGTTGCCTCTTTTCTATCAACATCGATAACACAAATGTTGAAGTAGGCTTAATGACACCGCAGAAGCCTTGGTTTATTTTCTGGTTTAAGAAAAGTCGTTGTGATTGATTGCTCTGTTCTCCTCTCTCCCTCTCTCTGGAATGTCTCTGTGTATGCTGACCTTGGTTGATCTCCAAAAATGATAAGCAAGTACCTGGCTAGTACTTGGATGGGATACCACCATAAATGTCAAGGCTGTAGACTGGGAAGTTAAATAGACAAAGTAATAACAACAACAACAAAAAAAGCAATAGGAAATCATAACATCAAAATTACTACACAGAGATGTCCATGTGGTCCCCAAGAGCCAAGCTTAGTTCCAGGGAGTATATTGTTATGCATATATACACACACTTATACAGCATGCCACTATCTATAAACAGAGAGCAAACCCCACTCTGTTCTAGCACTGAAGATGTTACCTAGCTGGGTAACAAAACGTTTGCAAG